TCAAAAGAATCAACTTTGTGATTTACTGCTACAATTAATAATTGTCTCAGTAAATGCCCAAACCCTACAGAACTGGTGCCTTCAGAGAGCCACTATGATTACATATTTGGCGTCCCTGAACCGGTTTTCCCTACAACAGTATAGTGTCCCCACCACTATACTGGGGCATTAGGACCCACATGGACCAGAGGGTGAGCGCCCCCTGCTGGCCCCACTAATACCTCTTCCAGCAGCAACTTTAGTTTTTCCCAGGAGGTCTCCCATCCAGGTACTGACCAGGCTCACACCTGCTTAGCTTCAGTGGGTTGCTAGTTGTGAGTTGCAGGGTGATATGGCTGCTGATGTAATGGAATAGATGTAAAAGAAGTTACTGGAAAATAAATGAAGATTCGAACCATGAATCTTACAATAGAATAATGTGTATATGTATTATGAAAAAATATGATTTGAGGTGTTAATATGACCAGTGTCATGGATACTCCTCTGGAGTGTAGGAGATTGCAGAGGAATTACTACCACAACTGACAAAGCCTCAATTTGTCCTGTCAATCAACTGGTTGCTGTGAGAATGCCCTCTGATTAGGAGTTGTTTCCACCTGTGTGCTGTAAATTACCACACCTTTCGCAGCTGCATATTTAAGACATACTGAATCCCTGCAATAGCTGGCTTTTAGTCTTGGTGAATGTTTTACTAGTTTTGGCATTCCCTCTGTGTTTACCTTTGTGTTCTAACTGAGCTTTGTTTTACTTCACATGTGGAGTTTTCCTGTGCTTCATTCCTGTGTTTTTCTGGCTTAGTATTTCACTACTGAATTTGCCATGTGCTTTGTACTCGGTCACCTGCCTACAGCATTTTTTTTTGTTTTTGACTGTTGTTTTCTTCCTGCTTGCTTGCTGCATCAGCTTGTTTGCTTACCTGTGTAAAAATCTGGCTCTGCCCTGGGGTCATTGCTCCTGACCAGTAAAGCAGTGGGCTGAGCACACAACTTTGAGGGGCACCGGTGTTAAGGGTGAGCATGTTGGAGGTGAGGTTGCCAATCCTGACAGTCTGGGGTGAGGAAGTCTAGGATCCAGCTAAAGAGGGTGGTATCTAGATCTAGAGCCCTGAGTTTGGTAGCAATTTTTGTAGGTATGATGGTGTTAAATGCTGAGCTAAAGTCAATGAACCACATTCTTGTATAGGTGTTCCTTTTTTCCAGGTGGGTTAGTGTGGTGTGTAAAGCTATAGGAGATTGCATCTTCCGTGGAGCGGTTTGTGTGGAGAGGATCAAGTGTTTTTGGAATGCTGGCTTTAATGTGTGGAAATATTAGTTTTTTAAAGCACATCATTATGATGGGAGTGAATGCAATAGGGTGGTAGTCGTTCAGGTATGTGGGTGCTGATTTATTTGGTACTGGCATAATGGTGGTTGTCTTGAAACAGCTAGGTACAGTGGCCTGGGCCAAGGACAGGTTGAAGATGTCAGTACAGACATCAGCTATCTGCCAGGCACATGTTCTGCATACCAGGCCAGGGATACCATCCGGTCCAGCAGCTTTTTGTGTGTTCACTCTACTTAGTGATTTCCACATAGCTAGCTTGGATAGTGTGGGGGTGGGGTGGCAGGGGAGTCAGTGGTCCAGGTGGTTGGTTCAGGTTATGAGCTTCGAAGCGTGCGTAGAAGGTGTTAAGCTTGTTTGGAAGGGAAAGGTCAGTAGCGCTTACAAGGCTTGTTTTGTTCTTGTAGCTTTTGATTGTATGTCTTGCCACATGTGTAGTGGGTTAATGTTGGTGTTGTAGTTGTGTTCTATCTAGGATTTGTACTGTTTCTTGGCAGATTTTATGCCAGCTCTTAATTTTTTTCCTTGCCACTCTCAATTCTTCCTCATTACCAGATTTGAAGGCTACATCACAGGCTTTGATCAGGGAGCAGATCTCAGTGTTTTTGATTTGGGAGTTTGCTTATCTTTTTTACACTCGCCACATCATCAGCACATTTGCTGATATAGCTGCTGACTGATGATGCATACATGTCAATATCGGTGTGGGATCCGTGGGAGGCTGCATCTTTGAACGCACTCCAATCTGTGCACTCTAAACAGTCCTGAA